CAGATTTGTGGCTTTATTTCTTACAATTTCTATCTTCCTGAAATTAAATTAAGGCTCTATCGTATGTTTGTACTTCCCATTCTCGAGTATTGTTGCCCATTCTTTGGTTTGATGAATGAAGCCAGTCGTTTAAAAATTGAAATTGTCCAAAGACGTTTTTCTAAAAAACTTTTAGATAGGGAACATCCCAATATCTCCTACTCAGATAGATGACAGCCAATTAACCTAAAATTTTTATGGGTTCGAAGACTAGAAGCGGGCTTCTGTCTTCTCTTTCGCATTAATCATAGTTCAAATTTTCCTCGGATTTCAACACATACCCCTAGTAGTCGCCCATACAATCTTCGCAATTCGTCTCTAATTATACCTCCTCCAGCGTCCTCCACCTCTAAGCGCTCCCTTTTTTTCGCTTCCAGGTATACTTTCCTCTGGAATAACCTTCCAATAAATATAAGATCTTCAGAAAATCTACACACCTTTAAGAGAAGGCTACGCCTTTATCTGAATACTGACTCGATTAAACTTTTATTTTCCTCATCCTTCCCAGACAACTTTTTCTATGACACTGAGAAAGGGCCACCGGGAATTTAGCATGCCGCTATTAAATTTCCGTATCTGTTCACGGTTCCTTCCTTTATGAGTAGTCTCGCTACCTAAGATCCCTCACCAGAAATGTTAATTATTCCAATTTTTTAGTTCATGCATCGTGCCCTCACAGAATGCGCACCATCGATGCTCTTGGCGAAACCTTCTGTATTCGCCATATACTAGTAGTTTGGTCGCATCTCCTTTGCCCTATCCTCGGATGGACTCTGATGAATGTAACCGACCGCATCTGGGTTCTTGTCGCCTCGAGACTGGTTGTCATCGTGCCCTTACAGAATGCGATCCATCGGCGGTCTTGACAAAGCCTCCTATATTCGCCATATACTAGTAGTCTGGTCGCATCTCCCTTCCCCCATGTTCATATGGACTCGGTTGAATGAAACCGACCGCATCTGGGTTCCGAACAGCTTAAGACTGGTTTTCAATTTCGCCACTTATTTTTCTTATTCAAGGCGATACAGGCCAGTCCTGACCGACCCGCCTACATACCATTTTATGAAATCCGTTACACAATGCCATATACAGCTGACATTTATTTCGGCCATGTTGATGTCGGACTATATTCCATTCTGTACCGCCACATGCAGGCCAGTCCTCCCTGTATTTTTCTGAGGGTTTTTTTTCTCCTGTTAAATTACTACAGTCATTTTTAAATTTTGCTTTGGAGTTTTATTTTCACCCCTCGTTTTTTCATATTCATTTTGCTTAACGGACTTCTAATCTCAAAAACTATGCATTGCACTTTGTACAGATTTTGCCTACCTCGTCTAAAATTTGCATGTAAATTTATTTTTACTTGCTTTGATGGGACCCCGACGGGTCTTTAATAAAAATAATTGAAATTGAAATTGAAAACACCAGATAGCATAGACGAGATCGTCTCCATGCCGCCCCTTGGCCGAAGTGACCACGTAGTGCTTATGTGGGATTATTCGTTATTCTCCATTTCACATACTCCAGACCACAAAAGGCGTAATGTTTGGCGGGGCAATTTCAATCAGATGAGGGCAGACTAATCCGGTCTTGACTGGGGCTCATTGTTTACGGGAAGTGCCAACGATGACTGGGAGCTGTTCAAGAATGTCCTTCTGCAGCTCATCAACAACCATTGCCCACTGACTAGTGTAAGACTGAACAAACGCCCTGGGTGGCTAAATAGCAACCTCAAGAAAGAAATCAACAGGAAGCACAAGCTGTGGAGAAAATACTGCGTCACTAGACAAGCTGAATGCTTCAACACCTACAAGACACAGAGAGACAAACTGAGGAAGCTGATAATGCAGACGCGGCGGGAATTCGAGAAGAACTTGCTACAAAAAGCAGCGCAGAACCCAAAATTGCTCTACAGCTACCTCCGATGAACTACAAGGAACAGGCATCAAATCCCTTTGATAAGGACTGATGGCGATGAGATCGCTGATAGTAGGGATAAAGCTGCGTATTTTTCACGGTTTTTCCAATCAGTCTACACAAACGAGGCCAGCTCCCTTCCTCCCTCCACAGAAGAACTGCCGACTCCAAGCGTCAGTGATATACTCTTCTCAGATGGCATTGTACGAAGAGAATAAGAGGCATTGAACGAATCGAAGTCGCCAGGACCAGACGAGATTCCACCCAAGCTTCTGAAGGAACTTGCCCGTGAGCTCTCTGTGCCTTTGTCGATGCTCTTTCAAACGTCATTTGACACTGGAACACTTC